TATTAATATGTAATAATTTTGAAGCGTTGAATGATAATCTATTAAGTTATTAAATATGGAAATATTCATTATTATATATTCGAATAATAAATTTCACAGAGCCGTCCGCTTAAAGTCAGCATTTATTTCGATTAACTTACACAAATGGAAACACAAATATTTAAATCTTTAGCACGTAGTAACTATACCATCACCACGTTAAGAAAGTCACATTTTTGCAAGTATCTTGATAAAACCCAACATCTAGACCTTTTGTTTTTAGTTTATGTAAAATCCAAATGAAAAGTGCTGATTAGGGTTAGGATTATAAATATAAAAGACCGTTCAAAGTCCAACTACTTCGAAAAACCGAAAAGATCCTAACACGATGTGGTTATGACGAAACCAGGTACAGTAGTAGAGTAGTACAATGTTCTTCTCTATACATAAGAAAGACCTCTAAAGTTAGAAGATGATCTCTTCCCTGCAACATAAGATGTTTCGACTCTTTTCCTTTTTTTGTGATCAATCCAATTCAAATTGATTCTATTGAGGTCTAGTTTGTTCTTGTAGAATCTGATCTAGCACCAAACATACATCAATGTACTCGTCGACATTCTTGTACAATTCTTAATTTGTTTAAGTAGTTTTATTCGTTCCAACAAAGTGACATTGAGGTTTGTGTTTCATCTTAATTACTTCACAATGTCTGGACAAAACTGAAATCTTCGAGACAATTATCATGACTGTGGTGGATTCTCTCAGAAGAGAAAAATTCTCATATCCCTTCCGTTGCTACAGCCTCGATCTCCATATTTGCTGGAAGATATTCCTTTACAAAATTTATAGGCTTTTGTCTATAACCAGGATACATAGCTTAACGTCAATCTATTTGTAAGAGGTTTAAATAGCGGAAAATCTATCATATGTAAAAATTATGTACTAATATAATAGAATCTTTTCCATCTTATTTTTCTAAAGTTGACATAAATACAGGTATATCACAACTTATATATATATATATATATATATATGATAATTTCTCTTTTTAAATCTTAATCATTTTGACAATCATGAGACACATGTGTTAAGATGATTAATATAATGAGACAAAATTAAATATTATTATTCGATTATTAACCAATCAAAAGTTCTCAATCAATTTTATAACAATTTAATTTATCAAAATTGTTATAAACTTCAATATATATGAAATTTACTTATTGTAAGTATATTTAAATATAATTATTCCACGATATCGTGGAAAGTCATCTAATTTAGATTTAAATAACACTAAAATACACAAACCATAATGAAAAAAAATTATTCTTCATTATTTAATTAATATCTTTGGTTCAAGGCTGATTCATAATTTTAGGTGAAAACTAGTATCACACCACTAATGTACAGTTGGAAAACATTTAACATTGTGAACTATTTTGAAAATATAAGAAATTGTGTTTTTGAAATAGTTGCCAAATTGGGTAAAAATAGACTCTCATCCCTTTTAGATTTTATTTTAAAAAAATTCCTATTACCATTTTTCTTTTAAGTAAATACATTTTTACCTCATATTTTTTTCTTCTAAATTATATATATATATAGTTAATACTCAAAAAATAATAAATTAAAAGAAGAACATAATCGCTAAATCTAACATAATCCTAAATTGTCGTCTCTTTCAATCTCCGTCATAAACACGATGGTTTCATCTCCCTCACGAACACGATGGTCTCATCTCCCCTACCAGCTCCGGCGACATCTTCGGACTCGTCAACCCTTTCTCTTCTCTTCTTTTCTCTATTTTATTCTTCTTTCTTGGGCTCGGAAACTCCTCGCCGTCATCTCTTCGTCGCAAACATGGAATCTTTGTTTTCATCTTCCCTCGCCGCCATATCCAGACTTAATTGTGTAGTGGCTATTTCTAGTATAGTTCCAGCAGAATGTATCATGACGGTGAACAGAGAATGATAATCTATATATTCTTAGTATAATCTTCTCTTTAATCAGTCATAATTGTAGTAGGTTCTGAATTATCGTTTAAACACAGCTGCACTTGATGTAAACAAAGGTTTTTTGATGATTANGCCGCCATATCCAGACTTAATTGTGTAGTGGCTATTTCTAGTATAGTTCCAGCAGAATGTATCATGACGGTGAACAGAGAATGATAATCTATATATTCTTAGTATAATCTTCTCTTTAATCAGTCATAATTGTAGTAGGTTCTGAATTATCGTTTAAACACAGCTGCACTTGATGTAAACAAAGGTTTTTTGATGATTACAATTTAACAATAATTCAAAAATAAATAAAAAGAAAACCAATCCCCAATTTCAGAATGTTGGAGTTCTCTTGATCCATTTTTGTACTCTTCTCTCTATTGTTTTTGAAGTTGCTCACTTGATTAGGGTCTGACTGGTTGCAACGCATCGATTGCGGTTGCGATTGCGGTTGCGGATGCGGGAGATTATGATTTTAAGTGTTAGAAAGAGATTTAGACGACTGGTTCAACGGTTAGAAATTGTTGCGTTTGCAGAATATTTATAACTGGTTTCTTATCAAATACAACAGCGGTTAAGTAATAAATTAACAATATTTATATTTTATATAATTATCAAAATATTAAAATCATATTTTCTTAATAATTATAGAAAATATTGATAAAACTATACTATTAAATTTTTTAAAAATTAAAGAAAAATAGTTTTTGGAAATTTTATAATATAAATATTCTGGTATTTTAATTATTTTAATTTAAAATTTTAATTGAATATTTTATTTTTATATTTATATAGTTTTTGGGAAAACAATATTTTTTATCCTCCCGCAATCGCCCGCAACCGTAAACGTTACCTGGAACCAACTTTGAATTTTAGAGATTCAGAGCGATTTGAACTGGTTCATAGTTTTTTTGTGATTGTTACAAAACGCTAATAACCGTTACCAACCGCAAAAACTGCGTTTGCGGGTGATGGCGGGAGAATTAGTCAGACCCTAAATAAGACGATGGTGAAGGAGCTTCCCATCCGTGAACGTAATGGTTCAAACTGAAAAAAGAATCTGGGTTGAAGCATCTTGGGAAAGCTAGTTACATCTCTAGCTGTTAAAATCTTACTTAAGGCAATGATTCTTAAGTGAGCAACTGCATCAACATATTTATGAAATATATCCCATCTTTACTTATATAACAATGCTCTCTATGTGACCTAGACTCACTCTATTGAACTTCCAGGTTGAGAAGGAATATGGACAGTTAATTTATCACAAGAGATCATAACGTTGATTTCTAGCTCTGAAGGTTCCACTGTGTCATCTGTTTCAATCGTTGATCCATATGGTTTACGTAGAGTGACAGATGACAGTATTCATCTACTTGTTGGAGATATACAGTTGAAAGATGAATATCTTATAGCATTAATAGTTGATCTTGTAATCAGGTAGCATCTTGAAACTTAAATTTGCAGATCTTTCAGACTTGTACAATTTCCATAAGTAGCCATCTTTACTTGAAGGCTACAAATAGAATATCGGCCTGTACTTTGTACCATAATAAAGGACTAGAACCATGACTTAGGAAAGCTAGCACTGATGCATGCCTTTCGTCAGGAGTTGGAGATTCTGTTGATAGTACTGATGGTGGACCTTATGATCAGGATTGGTTCTCTATTATGAAAGCGACACCCTTGAGATATTTAATGTGCCTAGTTCAAATGTGTATTCTCTGTTGATCAATTTGCTTCTGGAAGAAGCCAACTCTCTGATATGCATATTCATGAGTTAAGAGTATGAACTCGATAATAACTAAGAGGATAGTGCTTCTGCAAGGAATGAATGAAAACAAAGGTCCTTGATTTAGCTATGCAAAGATGGTCTGGGTCGTGATTTAACCATGTTCAGGAATATTAGTTTTCACCAGGGACTTTTTTTTTTCTGGCTCAAGGCCGGGGTGGTGGATGCTGTTTCAGAGAAAGACATATCGATAGAGCAGACCTGATCAGAAGATGATTTCCAATGAAGGGAAATGTGTTGTTAGGTCGTAAGGTGTTGTTCTGATATTGGTTTGTTTAGTTGAAGATGAAAAGCTAATGAGCTTTCATCAAATTGTACGTACTAATTTTCATTGTTAAAAGATGTTTTTTCAATTGCTTACCACAGTAGAAAGATTAAGAATGGAGAGAACTCTGTATAGTGAGCAACTCAGATTGAAAAGAATTTTATTAACAGTTATACATACTGTCATAACAGACTAAACAAAATATATACCAGTGAACAGAAAACTACATAGTAAACAGAGATCCTAAACGTCAATCAACAAAAACTAGGTACTAAGCAAGAGATATACTAATGAACAGACACTAAACTGAAGTAGGTCGATTTCTTCAAAGGCATAAACTTCAACCTCAAGACTTTGTTCAGAGTTCTCTTAAACTGTGTGGCATTCGTAGGAAAAAACCTCAACTTCAGAGGCTTCTTGTCTGAAACAGCAAGAGCATCTGTCGGCGGTTTCTTGTTGGAACTTCTTCTTCTCATTCTCAACTTGAACACCTTCAACAAAAACGAGTTTGTTGTCTTCTCGTTCGCTGTTTTCTTGTCCTCTGCTTCTTCTACTTCAACTTCTGGACGAGACAAGAAAGGATGAGACAACAACTCAGAAGCGCTTCCTCTCTCCTCAGGTTTCCTCGAGAAACAAGTTTGGATAAAATCCTTTGCATCAGAAGGAAGCGTCTCAGGTATCTCTGGAGCTTGAGCAGAAAGGAGACGAGTAGCGATATCATCAATTTCAAGGCNTTGTCCTCTGCTTCTTCTACTTCAACTTCTGGACGAGACAAGAAAGGATGAGACAACAACTCAGAAGCGCTTCCTCTCTCCTCAGGTTTCCTCGAGAAACAAGTTTGGATAAAATCCTTTGCATCAGAAGGAAGCGTCTCAGGTATCTCTGGAGCTTGAGCAGAAAGGAGACGAGTAGCGATATCATCAATTTCAAGGCTTTCCCATGGAATCACTCCCGTGTACATCTCCAGTACCAAACATCCCACCGACCACAAGTCTAGAGACATGGTTGCCACGCCGTCACGGATTGACTCCGGCGACATGTAGATCGCAGTCCCCACCCACGGGACTTCAGTCTCCCAGAATTTAGGAACTTCGCCCAACTCTAACGCGTTACCAAAATCTGAAATCTTGATCTCGTACGATGATGAACCACCTTCACTAGAACAAGGGAACACGAGTAGGTTGTCTGGTTTGATGTCGCAGTGAGCATAACCGTGGCCGTGAACCCAGCCCAAACCCTCGAGAACCATCCCCGTGAAATCTTTGATCAACCGTTCCGGCAACTTTCTGTCGGCGTATTTGTCCATGAAAGCGCGTAAACTACCTTCGGAAGCATACTCGAGTTGAAGTTTGTAGAGTTTTTCCCCGAATCTGGTGAAGCTTTCTTGAAGATAGTCGCCGAAACATGTAACGATGTTGGGATATCCCCTGAGTTCGAGCAGGATTTGTAACTCGCTTTGGAGACTGTCGAAGTTTTCTTCCGGAGAGTTCTTGACGGCAGAGAGATAGGAAGAGCCGTCGTTGGGATTAGAGTAGCGGACGAGATTTACGTAACCATAGGCTCCTTCTCCTAGATACCTTACGAATTCTTCGTTTGATTTCATCTTTGCTTTTTAGGGTTTCCAAATACAATCGCGTTTGAGAAAGAAGAAGAAAAACTGCAAAAGCTTTCTTTCTAGGGTTTCCAAAACAGAATCGCTCGCACAGGAAAAAAAAAAAAAGAACGTAAGGGAAATTGAGGAAGAGAGCAAAAAAGGAAATTGTAGTGAAGGACAAGTGATTTCAGAGTCTTTTATAGATTTCGCCGCACACGAGAAAAGAATATTCAAAGCACCGCGAAAAGATTAAAAAAAAACACCTTTGCTGAGTTCGCTTTTTCTTTTTTTTGGTGTTTTTTGCCAAAACTAACCCATAACTTAGCTTTAATCCTAATACTAGACCCCAACTTAAATCAAATGCAAATGTAACCTAAAAGGGCTATGAAATTATAGTATAGTGTTATGTGAACAAACAAAAAAACAGAAGACATTTTTACGAATATAACCCCAGTAAGTTGTCTGGGTTGGGCTGAGTTACTTTTCAGTCGTCTGGACGACTGAAATGTTAGTTGTCTAGACGATTGAATCTTAAAAATAATTTATAAATTTTGTACAAAATATTTTGATGAGTGAAAAATTAAAAACATATAATTATAAACATTTATAAGTGATATAAATTAAGAAATGATAAAGTTGATTTGTTTTCAGCATAGATGAGTGGAAGTAGTGAATCATGATATTCTTTGGTTTAAGGGTTTGGCAAACATATGTTGTAGTATTGTATGTAATCTTAGGGTTAGATTTTGAAAAGCTGAAATGTTTTTTTGAAAAAAATTAATTTGACCTCTATGTGTTTATTTCTGTGTATAGTAAACATTTTTCAAGTTTAAATTGATGTTTCGAAGTGTTTAATTAGAGAATAAAGTTTAGGGGTTATGTTTAGGGATTAGACGACTGAAATTTCAGTCGTCTGCTTTAAATTATTTCCCAGACGTCTGAAATTTCAGTCGTGTGCTTTAAATTATTTTCCAGACGACTAAGCTTTAAATTATTTCCCAGACGACTGAAATTTCAGTCGTCTGCTTTAAATTATTTCCCAGACGACTGAAATTTCAGTCGTCTGCTTTAAATTATTGCCCAGACGACTGAGATTTCAGTCGTCTAATTGTACCGAACCGTTAATTTTAACATTTTACGTTTTAACCTAACCGGATTTTTACCGGACATATAAAAGTTATTTTTTTTCACTTTTTCACAATTTTCCGAAACCCTAGCGCCGTTTCTCTCCAAGGATGACTGTAAAGGCGATTTCGACGAATCTCTCCGATTTCGACGAATCTCTCCGTTTTCGCCGGTAATCTCTCCGATTTCGACGAATCTCGTTTTTCTTTCATGCCTTAGAGTATTTTCGTAGTTTAAACTGACCATCCGCTTCCTTTTTTTTCAGATCTGAAATCTCGTAGCCCTTTCCTCCGCCGCCGGTATGTTATATCTTATGTTTTAAGGCGTTTAGCCGCCGGAAAACCCTAAAAATTGTAGTCTTGGCTCTTCTTTTCCCTTCGATATGCAGATCTGTAACCGCTAGGGACCACATCTTCTCCGACTAAATCTTCTCCGACTGTAAGTCGTCATAGTAGTCTTCTCACTTCCTGGAAGCCTTCTACGAAGTCTTACTCTCTCGACGACTTACATGTAAGTCGTCCAGAGAGTAAGACTCTGTAGAAGACTTCCAGGAAGTCGTCTGAGTAGTCTTCTCACTTCTTGGAAGCCTTCTACGAAGTCTTACTCTCTGGACGACTTACATGTAAGTCGTCCAGAGAGTGAGACTCTGTAGAAGACTTCCAGGAAGTTGTCTGAGTAGTTATCTCACTTCCTGGAAGTCGTCTGCTAGTCTTCTATAGTATTTAGAATAGTGCGCTACCTTTGTGGTTGAGATGGTTGTTTGTGATTGTTTGCAGGCCTTAAAATGGATATATCAGAACTGCTGCCAAGGTTGTTTACATTAGGAGAAGAGCCCCCTGCACTGAGGAGCATTTCGTATCATTCTGATGACAAGAAGTTGTTTCAAGCTCTATCTGATAATCTCAGACCTGAGGAATATGAGGATCTGAAAGCGTCAAAGTTGGGAATATTCATCAAGTTCAAGGAGCTTGGCTTTGTTTGGACTTCAAGGCTTGTACATTTTATTCNAGGTCTGAACTGCGACTACATCCCGAATTTGGAAAATCCAAGGTGTGAGATTTCTCAGGAGATGACTGCTTTCTGGGAGAAGATGGGTGTTGATCCCCATGCTGGGCCAAGCATTGAACAGTTAAGAACAGCATTTACCAAGTGTGACGGGTGGTCTCGGGATGATCGAATGCGGCTGGGATACCTTGCCATCTACGCATGATACATTGAAGCCAGAAAGTTCTCTTCTCCTACACGGGCTAGTCTTGCAAGGCTAGTCATGGACTTGGAAAGATTTGAGAATTACCCATGGGGAAGAGTGGCATTCAAGGTTCTAATGGATTCTTTGACGGCAAAAGACTTGACGCAAACAGGTTACACCGTTGATGGGTTTGTACAGGTTCTCCAGGTGTGGGCGTACGAAGCTATGCCAGAATTGGGTGCCAATTATGGCTCTCCTGTGTCAAGCAGACCGTCTCTACCGTTGCTTGCTTACAAGGGTGGCCTAGGACAACGCAGATGTTTCAAGGACGCCATCTGCAGACAGGTACTTAACTTCACTCCGGACGTCCCGGACGACTTTCAGACGGCTTAAAGTTAAGTCGTCTGAAAGTCGTCCAGAAAAAGACTTCACAGACGACTTAAAGTTAAGTCGTCTGAAAGTCGTCCAACAATCACTCCCGGACGACTTTCAGACACTTAAAGTTAAGTCGTCTGAAAGACGTCTAAGTCGTCTAACAAAAAACTTCTCAGACGACTTAACTTTAAGTCGTCTGAGAAGTTTTTTGTTAGACGACTTTAAGACTAGTTAACTTTAAGTCGTCCATCCTAATCCGTCAAATACCTAAGTTTATATGTTTTATTTACTGCAGAGAGATGTGAAAAACTTTGTTCGAAAGGACCTTGAAGACATGTTTCCAAAATGGGACGGAGACAGAGATGACCCTGCCGCGGTCAACATAATTAAAGCCATGTTTGTTCCTGGATGGAAGTGGACCATGGACTACTGGCAAGTCACCGATACTCAGGAGGTTGGTGTGAAGCTTGAGAGTGGTGTGAAGATTGAGAGTTGTGTGAAGGTTGAGAGTGGTGTGAAGGAGGAGAGTGGTGTGAAGGAGGAGAGTAGCAGACCTTGGAAGAAAGCTCGTAAAGAGTCGCATGTTGAAGCTGAGTCTTTTACGAAAAAGCATCTTCAAAAAGCCTTGAAGGACATATCTGATGCCATGAAGGATGGGTTTGATAGGTGCCTTAGAGAGATACAGTTGGTGGGGTCTAGGGTGGGAGCTTTGGAGAAGAAGGTGGGAGATCTGGAGAAGATGGTGGGTAGTACTTCAGCAAATCCAGAAAAACCCGGGGTTAGTACCAGAATCACTATGCAACGTGTTAAGAAGAGGACAAAATAGGCTTGTGTGTAGAGTTTTTAACCATTGTATCCTTTGCTTCGGAACCTTT